CTGGGGGGCATCGGGTGGGTGGCTCTGTGCCGTGCCAGGTGCAGGGTCTGCTAGCTGGGTGCTGGCAGGCTTGCACCTGGCACGGGCACCGTAGCCAGCCCGTGCCCCTTTAAGGGGTCCGGGGCCGGGAGGGGGGCATAGAGTTTCCCTGGTGTTGGCCAGAGTGGCCACCAGGGAAACCTGGGAAGCCTTAGCCTCCCACTAGTTCGAACTAAAGGGCTACACAGCCCTTAGTTCGAACTAGCTAGTTCGAACTAGGCGTTAGTCCTCGTAAAATGAGGTTTACCTAGTTCGAACTAAGCGCTCCGCTAGTTCGATTCATATTCGAACTAGCGGAATGCTATTGTAGCACCTATTAAAGTTAGTTCGAACTAACGTCCGTTAGTTCGAACTAACTTTGTAGTGTAGACATACCCAGAGAAACAAAAGACAGGAAGCCTTGTAAATAATATATAGTTTGTATATGAAGAAGTGGAAGAGAGATGTCAAGGCCCAGGGCCAGGCCCCATCAGGGCTGTGGATTCGCTTCAAGACAGAGTCAATTAGGGACAGATAGTTGCTTTTATTAATCTCGCTACATCACTGCTGTTACAGGCTCAATACTGCCAAATGGTTACACAGCTACTGCAAAGTATTAAACCAATAAATACAGGCAGAGCAATGCATAAAAAAGTAACAGGTACTTGGAAATGCTTACACCCATTTAGTCTGCAGGAAGTCCTGTTCCGGTTACCTTGTACCCAGCCATAGCGGACATGGCTCCAGCTAGAGGGATTCAGGACACCCTTTGAGATTTAGGTTCCTGGTGAGACTCACTGGACACGAAACTCCTTATACTAGCTATACTACAGTTGATTACCAGGTGTGCATGTACCTGGCTGTGACGGACCGGGCCGGGTCTGGGCACAGCTGAGGGTGTCCGCTCAGGGCAAATTGCTCAAATTCCGGGCTCCTTACAGCCCCCAGACTGGAGACCTTCCCAGATAGGCCACAAACCAGTCCCACAGAGCACTTCAGCTGCCTGCCTGAAGCCTCGCGAGCAAAACCCCTCCGACACTTCAGCAATATCCGTGCCCCAGATGGCCCCAGGCCTCATACACAGGTAAGGGGTCTTAGACCCCAATCTCACCTTCCCCGAACAAGTTCTGTCTGGTTCCAAGAAACCAGCCACAGTTCCCAGGTCAATTTACTCTCTGGATCTTACCCACAAATCACGCTGAGCCAATC